CCCGAGTGCTCACTGGAAGGACAGATCCTGAAGCTCAGGCTCCATACATTGGCCATCTCATGAGAAGAGAAGACTCTGGAAAAGACCCTGATGTTGGGAAAGTGTGAAGGCAAGAGGAGAAGGGGACGACAGAGGACGAGATGGTTGGACAGTGTCACCGAAGCGACCAACATGAATTTGACCCAACTCCGGGAGGCAGTGGAAGACAGGAGGGCCTGGCGTGCTCTGGTCCATGGGGTCACGAAGAGTCAGACACAACTTAACAACTAAACAACAAGCCAGAGATCACGGGAGGATACAGGATGGAAGTTGGGAAAGTCCATGAAACACAAAATGTTGACCGAATGAACCCTTAGACATTTTCAGACCCAGGCAGTTGTGAGCAGACAATGAAAACTGAGGTCAATTGTCTTTAGTTCTGCATTAGCATACAGTGAGCTGTGTGTGTAGGCGTCCTTCAGTCTCGAGAGACTATGGTAACATGCTCTGAATAGACGTCTTGGAACAGCGTCTAGGGTGCCTGAGGAGGACAATTCAAGAGTGGCAGTCCCTTTCACACTGAAGATAAGTGCAATCTCTCCCCTGTCCAGCTCTCTGATTTTGCTGGTTTCGGGACTGCCTCTTTGCCTCGGCCTGCTGAACAAGTGACTCTTCAGATTGGGAGAGGCCATGATGCACTGCCTGCCTCCAGGCTGAACGCCCAGATGTCAAGGTTTCCCATCTGTTGAGGTCCATTCCTAAGGCCTTCAAATCCCACTTGTAGATATCCTTATATCACAGCTGTGGTATCCCTCAGGGGCGCTTTCTCTGCACTAATTCTCCATACAGGAGATCTTTTGGAATCCAACCAACAGCCATTCTCACGACATATCTGAACCAACATAGACATCATAGTTTCAGTAATGTATACATGCTAAAAATTCCAGCTTTTTCTAGGACTACTCAATTTGGAACTTTGTTCTACCAGCTGATACCAAAAATGTGTCAGAGACAACGCATATGGACATGTTCAATTTCCTCTCCTGCTGTGCACAAGGGTCCAGGATTCACTGCAGTACAGGAATGTACTCAGGACACAGGCTCTACAGACCTGGATCTTGGTAGAGAGAGAGTGTCGGAGATCATTGAGCCAAGGTACACAAAATCATGAACAACCTCCAGTTCTTGTGTAGAAATGGTAATAGAGGGAGGTGAGTCCACGCCCTGGCCCATGACTTGTGTTTTCTTCAGGCTGATTGTTAATCCAAAATCCTGGCAGGCCTTAACTAAAACGGTTAATATGTTGTTGGAGCTCTTCAGCAAAATAGGCAACAACAGCTGTATCATCAGTGAAGTGAAGTCTTTCATGCATTTCATCTGGACTTCGGTCTTCGCTCTCAATCTAGGGAAATGAAAGAGCTTTCCATCTGATTTAGTCTGGAGATAGACCCCTTCTGTTGCAGTTCCAAAAGTGGGCTTCTGCATGACAGCAAAAAGATCCCAGAGTCGGCGTGAGGACACAGCCCTGTTTGACTCTACTGTACTTTGGATGTCAAAGGGATCTGATGTTGAGCCATCAAAAACAACAGTGCCCTTCATTTCCTCATGAAAATACCAGATGATGTTAAGGAGCCAAGGTGGACATCCAATTTTAGGAAGCATTTTAAAAAGGCCGTCCCTGCTAACCAAATCAAAGGCCTTTGTAAGATCTATCAAGGCCACAAAGAGTGGCTATCGTTGTTCCCTACATTTATCCTGCAACTGTCTGAGGGAGAATACTATGTCAATGGTGGATCCATTAGCTCGAAATCCACACTGTGTTTCTGGATAGACTGTGTACATACCCTATTAATCTATCTAGCATTTTGCTAAATGCTTGTTATATTTAACAAAATGTCAGCTCTGTGATTCTGTGACCTTCACTGTTGGCCTCTAAAAGGTCCTGTGTGTGTTTCTGAGAAGGCTAAGCTTTTGCTATTTACATTACTGTTGCTCAGTGTTTATGCTTATCAGTCACATCAAGCATGTGCTACTAATATATATAGAGCTGAAATCTGCAGCTGCTGTTGAGAAGGAGCAGCTTGGGCTTCTGCTGCTCTGCTCTTGCATCTAAAGCAATAAATCATTTATTCTCTGGAAATCAAAGGGTGACAACTCCAAAACAGACTACAAGAGGGGGAAGAAAGCATTTAAGCAGTAATCCTCCTGACCTATAAATGTTTGTTCTATAGTATTTGTGGACAAGTCTACATAAATCACTTTGAATTTCTGGAGATGAGTAAAGTCTGATAGGAAATATACAAACATTATCAGTTTTGTAATTTTTTTACTTCATTTGTTCCTACATCTCCTGACATGGAGCCATGGTGGAATTTTAATATCTTCGACCATCTGCATGGTAGACTCTGGGCTTCTTGAGAGAGTGCCCCTGCTAATTATGCTTTGAATCCAACAGCAGTCTTCATGTCAGAGTGCCAGAGTAATGCATAATGGAAAGTCTGGAAAAGAATCTTTGTCTTGTATCAGCGAAGTGTCTACAATGATATGATTGGGAAATTTTGTCAAAAATAAAATGGAAGCCATTGGAAAGAGCAGAGATCTAAGACACTGTGATCTCTTTCCATTTGACACCTGTTTATTTCCTCTGACACAGAATTAAACCACAAAGGACAACTTATTTATTTATTTATATTATTTAACTTATATGCCACCCACACTATCCAAAGGTCTCTGGGCGGCTTACAATAATTTAAATACAATGAAAAGATAAAAAGATAAAACAATTAAAATAAAATTACAAAATAGAATTGGCAGCTTGAGTTGCATTAGGAGAGCCCTCTCCTGTCTTTTCATTAAGAATTGTAAATCTTTAATAAAAATTACATTCCCTATTTAGGCTTCTTAATAAGTTCAAGTTTTTTTTTCTACATGTAATTGTAAAAACAGTATCCCTGGAATTTCATGTCTGTGTCATGATTTTTTTGTAAGTGTGTGTGTGTGTGTATGTATGTATGTATGTATGTATGTATGTATGTATGTATGTATGTATGTATGTATGTATGTATGTATGTATGTATGTATGTGCACATGCACACATACAGTATACTGTATATATATTTATATTCAGTATAAAAACAACTGTCATTTCAATTTCAAATAACTATCAGCCTGTCTCTAAACAATGATGACTATATCCCAGAATGGCCAGCTTTTACAGACCGGGAGGGAAGGCCTGCAGACATGCTTTTCAAGGAGAGCCATCTGTGGAACCACCATCCTAAATTTTGTTCAAAAGGTCCCTCAAACTGTCTAGGTAAAGGAGTCATTTCTGCCCCCACCACCACCAATCCTGTTTTAGACTAGTGGGAACTTTTTCCAAAATCAAAAGGACCACTTTTATATTCTTTGTTACTACATGCTTAGTTTGATCAAACTGTAATATCTGTATATTGGTGTAAATGAACACAATGTGTGTATGTGCTCTCTTCTGTTCCAGGAGAAAGGCCTGCAAGTATTTTGAGCAGGGTAAGGGAACCTGTCCCTTTGGGGGAAGGTGTCTATACCTCCATGCCTACCCAGATGGGAGGCGGGCTGAGCCAGAGAAACCTCGTAAACAACTGAGCTCTGAGGGGACCGTCCGGGTAAGAAAACTGGCATCAATATGATCTACTCCAGTCATGAGGACTCGCTCTCAGCTAAACAGTAGTGCAAAGCTTCATGCCCTGATACATTCTCTCACAGGAAAAGTCAAGTGACAGCCTTTCATTTGTGTTCAGAATTATCTATTTTAGTATAGCTAGTAAACAGGGCATTTTAGCAAAGCTCCCATTTTACAGAAACCTGATTCTATTTATCTCATAGTAAGTGCTGAATATCTCCTTCAGTATCTAGTACTTTCCATTTCAGAGTCAAGTTTTCATAGCATTTTAACACACACACACTTTAACATACATGAATATACATGCAGATTTTTGCCTAGTGACTGTAGTTTTAAATAGCCACAATAATTACATATTTATATAGTTAGCTCGTGTATATAAGTAATCTCTCTTTTTTTAAGTTCCATGGTGGACAACTGTACTTTAATAATAGTACAGCTGTGCTTACAACTCTCAGCTGTAATCTCAACATTAGCTGTCAGAGCAGTGCAGAGACTTGCTCAGGATTGCTACAGCTGCAGCACTTGCCAATACAACAAGCATAGGGGCTTGCGACAAACGACTTGGGACCTCTTGGCCTTAGACCTCAAGGTTTTGCTATGCTATGATACCCCAGTTTGTGATTTCCACCTGATTTGAAGGGTGTGAGGTGGCCCCATGTAGCTGTCCTGGTGTTTTTACCCTTTTACCTTCTTTGTTCAGAGTGTCAGTGCATTTTATCCTGTACCTTCGTCAGCATAGCCTCATCCTCTTGTGCACTGCTGTCCTGTAAGAGCCTTTACACTCTTTCTTACCTACTTCATCCTAATGGTTACTCTCCTTTTTTAAAAAATGATGAATCTATTTCTCAAAAAGCAGTTTTAATCTCATCTGTTAACATGGCACTCAAACCGGAATTGCCAAAATGGACACGATGGACACTCGGTAGCGTTTTGCTAAAAACGTAAATTGTCAGAATGGGCACTGGTTTGCAGAGCCACGTTCAGACCACTAGAGGGTGTGAAAATTTAGTTAGTGGCTGGCTGTTTTAGACATACAGTAGGAAGATTAGAACCGTCTACGTCTTTGTCAAAGGGTGGCACGGCTAGAACTGACCTTTTGCAAGTAACTGCAAGGCTCTCTTCTGAGTCGTATAGGAAAAACGGTGAGCGTTCTTTGGTCCTTTGTGATGAACTGTAGCATAGGTTCTTCACCTGTGGTCTCCGGACCACCAGGGATCCACGATTCCTTCACAGGAGAACCGCAGAGCCTTGACACCACGCAAGGGCAAAGCCCACAAAGGGACTCCTTTTTTCCATCAGTGAACCACTTCTCAGCCTAACACAAAGCAATTATCAAGGATTTTTTTTTTTTTTTGGACAAATGAAAGTGGTAGTGAGCACAAGAACTCAAAAACTGCCAAGCATCCACTTGTCTACTATCTCCAAAGCTCTAGGTTTTTTTAAATGCAAAAATACTTTGAATGTGCCTAATAAAACTGTATGCTAATTCACTGGAGACACAGTACTTGTCTCTTTCTGGAAGACAGTCGCTGTGTCACTAAAATTATGCAGGGATAAAGTGGATAGAGGGAAGCTGTTTTCCCTGTCACGCGATACCAGAAAGCTTGACTAGATGGGCCCTTGGCCTGATCCCGCAGGGCTGTTCTTGCGATCTTTAAAGCAAGTTCCTTTCTTGTCTCCTCAAAGAAAATGTGTGTATTTATTGTTTCTGTGTCCTTTCATTGCCCTCTAAACATCTTCATTCCTGGGCTATGAAGCTGCAGCAATATATCTTTTTGGAACAGTCTTGGGGGTAAGCATGTTCAACACATGCTCCATTTCTAGGAAAGTCAGAATGTTTCACTTTAGAAAGAACTTTGAGGATCAATGTTTCTGCAACCTGGATTCCTTCCAATTTAAAACATCTTTCTAAAAATTATATATAAAACAGATCAAATAAATTGAAATACATACATACATACATACATACATACATACATACATACATACATGCATACATACATACATGCATACATACATATATATATGTGTGTGTGTGTGTGTGTGTGT